ACTGAAAAATACCCGTGTGTAAAAAGAGCCGCTCTCAAGCTGCTGTCGATGTTCTCGTCAACATATGTCTGCAGTCCCTGTTTTCTACCTTGAAACACGTGAAATCAAGGCATCGGTCCGTTCTGACTGACACTCACGTAAAGGAACTGCTCCGAGTGGCTACAACTGAATACAAACCTGATTTGCAGAGGATTACTGGAAACAAGAGATGCCAGAAATCCCACTGAGAATATCATCCCATCACTCCAGCAATACTAATTAAAAACTTAGTATAAAAATTGTATTGTTTATTTTTTATTAAGTATCAAAATTTAATGATAAAAAATCCCGACATTAGTTTATACATTCAAATAGATTTTTTTTGTGTTTCACATTGAATAAAATTTCTTTGAACCCTTTTTTACGCGACATTTTTATTTTGCCCTAGTGTAGTTTGGAAAAAACACCTGACTGAACATGCTTGTGTGAATATTTTAATATTCCATCAATTTACATTATACAGGTTCTATCTGTGCATCTGAAGTGTGTTCAGTAGTTGTGTGTGTCAGAGAGAGGCAGAGAATTAGATAGTGAGAAAAAGTGTGTGTGTGTGTGTGTGTGTGTGATGAGATGAGAGAGAGGTGCCTGTGTGTGTGGCCTCCAGGGTAGTTGCTGTGTTAACTCTGGCTAAGGTGCATTTGATGTGTGTATTGAGGGTGGACACTTTCCTTGAAATGAACACAAGAACAATACTTGTTGTATCATTGTAAGGAGAGGAGTGTGTTATAAGAAATAATATGTTTTTAATTGGGTGTGTTTGTGTGTGTCTGTCTGTCTTGGCAGGTCAGTGTGTGGTGTGGCTCTTTGACTCTCACAGTTAAAAATTTCGGCTCTTTGTGTCAAACTTGTTCGCCACCCCTGCCATAGATGTTACACAGATAATGGGTTTTAATGATAATTTAGGTTGAAGTATATGTTTGAATAATTGTACTTTATTCAAAATAGTTGTAGTTTCTATTTTACATATGTTAAGTAACAGTCTCCTGCAAACCATTCTGGCCATTCCACTTGATATATACTGCTCACTTGGAAACACTTTATTGAGGGAAATTACTTGAAAACAGTGTATAAGAGATTACAGTATACTAGTAATACTTCAGTTTATGCTTTGGGCTCATAAACAGTTACTTACATATTATATACACTACCAGTCAAAAGTCTGAACTAACGCTCTGAATGCTCTTTCTATATGTTTACTACTTTCTAAATTTGATATAAATAAATACACATGTTCAACAGGTTTAAACAGCACCAGTCAAAAGTTTGGACACACCCTCTCATTCTTACTACTTTCTACACTTTATACGCATACAGAAGACACAAAATATATGAAGCAAGATATATGGAATTATTTAGTAAAGACATTTTTTTAAATAACTCTACTAAATATTTTCAGCAAAGCAAGCGGCGGGTAATTTGAGGATTTGGTTTTAAAATATGAAATAAATATGTTTTTGTTCTATTAGTTTCTAGTGGTATTTTCAAGCAAGAATAGTTTTACCTAAATACTATTTTTTGCAATCATATTTCCAATTCTAAATAAACAACAAAATCTGTCCCTACACCAGATCCATTCTACTCATTAATGATCGCATTAGCCAAAGAGATGCTGAGTGCCAACATTATACAGACACACAATTTTAGTGAGTAGCTCTTTAAGATGGTCTTCAAAACAACGCGCCCAGCTGCCCTTCCCTGCAAACACTGCTAACAGATCGCTTCCTCCCATTGATGCAACAGGAAATCAGGAAATCAAAAATGGTAAGATTTCTTTAAACACTTGTTGATAAAATGAGAAATTGTAAATGCTTAGTGATGGTATTTTTAGTATTTTATACGTAGAAAAGTTTTCAAAGATAGTGAGTTATCTGGACAGTGTTTTTGAATTACCTGGACAGCTGAGAAATGTTAACGACTGTAGCATAACACCATGAATCTGCATTTCACATAAAAACATACAAAAAGTTAATATGAAATCTTTCTAATCTCTCCAAATTTAGCAGTGGATTGGTAACATGTTCTATGTGGCAGTTCTTCTTTGTCTCCAAATCGGTAAAACTTTACTTTTCACTCCACATATTGCTTGTGATTGTGTGTGTTTTGTTTGTATGTTGCATGTAAAAGGAGGCTAACTGTATTGTGGTGGTTCCTGCCTCTTCTCTAACAAACCCATCAGTCACCAGAACGAGCCATAATCACGTTTAGAAGATCGACAGATACCACAGCTCGCCCATGGCCTTGTCTTAATCACAATGTTTACCTTTAACAGATGATTTTCCCTTTAATTTGGATGCTGCTGTTTGTAAATAAGATGTGAAGAGTGAGGATAAGGCTGCAATATTGATCAGAATCAAATGAAAATTGTTATTTCAATGGTCACAATTAGAAAATGAACAAACAAAGTTGACACTTGTCAGCTTTAAGCCATGTTACAATGTTGTTCCCTCATCAAATATATACCTGGAGTTGTTTTGTTTCATTTACACGTTTGAGTCACCCTTAATTATTAGTCTGGCTACATGTCCAAAGCTCAAAATTCTCTGGTCCGCCTTGTGATGTCATGTAGTGGCAGTTTTCTAATTAACAGTTTCCCTTTAACCCTTTGTTCAGCAGAGTTTAGCAATCCTAGGGCTGAAATTATCCAAATGAAAGATAATTTAGAGTTTAAAAACACAGCGGCACACTTACCACATTACATTATACTCAAATATGGAGGGTTATGTGTTAAACATGTGTGAATGAAACAAAAACACACACACACAAAAAAAACATACCTTCAGTCACGACACAAGTTTTTGATGGGGAAACAACATTATAAAACTGTGAAATATGGGCGGTTTAAGTAGCATTATGTTCCTGGTGACAAAACATACCTGGAGTCACATACTGTACCTCGAGTTGTGACTCCTGGTATGTTTTTGATAAGGAAACATTACAAAATTGTGAAATATGGGCGGTTTACGTAGCAGTATGTTCCTAGTGAAAAATATCTTAAGTTAAAATAACGTGACAAACCTGAATGGGAATAACTGCTATTATAATCTTAAGTATAAATCAAATTGAACCGCCCTTGCTGGATGTAATATTGGTGTGTCACATCACATGCATGGCTTATAACTGGTTTCATAAGGTTATTGTGCCCTTTTTTCCTGTGCCTCCCTCTAACCATCTTCCATTAATGTACCATATCCTTAAATCTTTGGTTATTCACTGTCTGCTCCCTGTCTACATCTCAAACCACAGCATCCTATTACCAGCGTATTTGCCTGCGTTCCGCACGCTTCTTGAATACTTGTTGGATCTATACCTGAGTTCAGATGGACATGAAAATATTTGTGTTACAGTGCTGTCCTCTGCGAAAAAACAAGGGGATTTTGGCATCTTCAAAGCTTGCAACAGCAACAACAGTTTACGGTACACTGTCATTATATCCAGCTTGAATTAAACGTGCACTGTGTAACTTTTGTAATGGATTGTATGCCATGTCTCCATGTAGACTTATTTCATGCCTAGGAAGTTCCACAATTTTGTATTAAACACATTAGCTTTTATTTAGTTTTGGATATTTTCAAGGCTAAAAAAGTGAGCAGGGTCGCCTCTCCACAGATCTGACCTGTGACTTGGCCTGGTAGCACAGTTGTTTGTCTTCGTAGAGATAGACAAGTTGAATATAATACAATGGAACATCGCAGGCAAAGCAGTAACATCTCCATGGAGACAAGCAGGTGGTCCAAAGCAAAAAAAAAACTCTGCTTCCTCATCACAAACATACCTGGAGTTGTGTTCTTGACATCACAACATGGAACAGAGCATTTTGAGCTTCGGAGATGTAGACAGACTAATAATAATAATAAAAGGGTTACTCAAACATGTGTGAATGAAACAAAACACAACTCCAGGTATGTCTTTGATGAAGTAACAACATTATAACATGGCTTATGCCTCACAAGAGTAAATTTTGCATAATACAGGACCTTTAAACTATTTTTGTTTGGTTCAAGGTTAGAGTGCTCGTATGCAGACTGCCGTGACTCTCCACCTTACTACTGCGTCATTAGCAGCACAGACATGGATCCACCTTATAAAGAAAAAAACTGCACACTGGTCATCCCTAAACACAAGAAAATCTATGCCAATACAACCACTCACTTCAAATGCAACCTCACTCGAAAAGGCAGACTGGAGAAGAAGAATATTACCATTGACTACAGGATCAAGAAAGGAAAATGTTTGTATTTTGTCCATAATGAAGCAATTCTCAAACTGTGGTCCATATACCCTTTTATGTAGTATATGGTACAGCCCTGGTTTAATTTAAGGATTACATTTTTTGCATTCCACAATTTTTATGTTTATTTTTGTAGACCTTGATTGTTCTTTTGTTCCCAGCTTACATGTCTTTTGAGGCCTTTATCTATTATTTATGTTAGTCCTGTTTTAGACCTGATTTATAGTTAAGGTACCTATTTCAGTAATAGATTGCATTTTGTTAGTTTGATTGCTTGGAGTCCTATATTAATGCTCATCTTAAATTTCCAGATCGCATGAGACCTTGTAAAGGAAGAGCATGTTCGAAGCAGCCGCCAGTCCTCATGACCTGCCTATGGCTTTTAGTGATACTGATGTGGACAGTCCTGATTAAATAAAAATAAAAAAAACTAAAAAGCTGTGGAGTTATACTTACATATTGAAAGAGCTATTAAAATGCACCTGTTCTTAAAAAACAAAGCATCATCATTCCATACTTAATTTAGCAAGAGTATTTTAGAAAGCATTTAAAATGTTGCCTAATAAGATATATAAAAAGATAAACATATAACTACAGCGGAAATATTCCCCAGTTTCCAGTACTCAATTCTTTATTAAAAAGAAGCACAGAAAGTCTGAATAAAGTAAATCAACATGAAGCTATAGATTGGAAAGGCCTTCTTTGACAGTCATAGTATAAAACTGATATTTACCTAAGGAGTCCACGCGCTGGTTTAACTCAGTGGTTACTTCGATGTTTCTTATTCAGAATCCAACCTCCATCCTTCCGCTGTTGAATGTCAACGCACCTTCCCAACTAAGTGTGAGAGCGAGATGTCAGCTTCACCCTGTGGTCACTTTAGGCTATATTACAGATTCCACGTCTTAAGTTATAGGCCTACGTTATAATCGTATCACGACACATTCATGTTGCTATTTACATTTTAGTGAAATTGTGCTGCAATGTATAGGCCACATAATAAAAGTAAGATGTCTAAGTTTAGGGCAAAAGTTTATACATGCTCGAGAAATAGATACCTAGACCACATTTTTTACGCAATCACAGTGTAGTGATAGTGATAGTGTGGTGATTACTCCATAGCCCTTCAACCTGTTATAAATACTAGACTACTTACCCACAAACTCTTTTTGAAATAATTAAAATCTACACATTCTTAGCCATTTTATATTTGATCTCCTCAGATAGGTTCATGAAAAAAGTCGCTAGGCTGCGCGCAATCGCGCATGCGTGAACTGTTCTTCGTGCACTTCTTGGACAATACAATAATAAAAACAGGCCGGTTTAGAAATGCTGAATACATTTTTACTTTGAGCACATTTGTTTATTCGTTTTTATTAATTTTAGACGGATATATTTCTGAAGATTCAGTTTCTCGTGGCGCATGCGCACACTGGCTGCGCCGTTGCTCTGTTGACAAATATCGGGGGAGGGACCACTGCGGCGTAAGTAGACCTTTGTTATGACTGGAATAATGGCTAAATGCTTTTTGAATGACTAATTAGCGTTTTACATGCGGTTGCTCGGTAAAGCACCTGGTCTAAGTACTTTTCTAAGACCAGAGAAGAGAGAAACCCGTTAAACATCTGTAAAAAAAAACAAACAAGAAAACGCTATGGTCGAATCTAGAAGAGCCAGTCAAACTAATTTCAATGAACTGATGCACTTCCGGTAGGCACTGTAATGCTGATTATAAATAACGTTAGTTGGATATTGTTTTTGTTAAGATATAAATAGACTAATACAAATGTATTTTTGTAAAGCAAAAATTTAATGAATTGTCAATACGCGATGAGTGTTTATTCCAGCTTTAAGAAAAATATTATGGAAGTGTTTCCGGTTTAGTCACTAACGTTCCTCTGACGTCGGGGAACTTCACTTTGTTAGCAACCAAATTCATCTTGATGTTTCATTGCCTCTGTCTCATGTTTCTATAAACTCAGCTATCGTTTGAAATTTAGTCTTACTGTTGTAAATACATAAGTATAGATTAGGTTCCTAATATTATATTTATCTTTTCAGTCTGGCTTCTGGAGCAAGCAAAGTCGGTCTCCTTGGCCACGACAGAGATGAAGAGGTGAGTGTTCACTCGGAAACCAGCTAAAAGATTGGAAGCATAGTGTATCAGAGACTATATTTTTTACATTTTCAATAGTCAGTGTTCTCTGTTATTCATCATTGTCAACTTGTTTAAGCCATCGTCTTATTTTGTGCTTTGGAAATCTTGTGAAAGCACATTTAATTTTACATCTTCTACCGTATGTATGCAGCCAACAGAAAAGCCCTGACCAACCAGATGGAAGTATTACAGTGAACGAAGAAGGTAAACAAAACCTCATGTAGAATTGTCTAAATTTCAAGAGCTTGTTGCACAGAACATTAACATTAGTGTTTGCTATACTATTTGATATAGAGGAATTATATATTATCATCAACATGTTACATTTGGTAGTATGTATTTACTCTGTGTTACTTTAGGTTCTGTAGCCACTGCTGAAGACCCTGCAGCTATTGCCACAATTCAGTCTGCTGCTACATTCACAGATCAACCCATTAAATATCTTTTCAAAACAGAGGGGGCCGGTGGACAGGTAGGGTATGGTCAATATAAGTGCTACCTTTTTCACCAGTTGTTGTGAGGATCTATTGTCACAGTTATGATAACTTTCAACATATAGTTGTATGATATAAGTGAGTTCATAAGTGCCTTATTGAAGAATTATTGTTTTGGCTGTTTCAGGTGACTTACAGAGTGATCCAGGTGTCAGATGGGCAGCTGGAGGCTCAGACCGATGGTGCAGCAGCAGTTAGCCTGGTTGCAGGTTTCCCTGCCACCTCACAGACTGTCACACAGGTGAGGGGCAGCTCACATCAGGCTCATTTCCTCTCATTCATTTTCAGCATAATGTGTAACAGTGTGTTTGTTTGCCAATCCACAAATGTTGGGACATGATCCTTCATTTTAGTGATTTCAGATCCTTATTCTGCTTGAAGGTCTGTGATATCATGTTGGGGCATCAAATATAAGTCCTCAGCTAATATCATTTGCTTCCCAAGATGATTTTGACAATAATGATTGTACATAACAGAGTTCTAAAATAATAGTAATTGTACACTGGGGGACATTGGTACGCAGGGCCCACTGCAGTTTGAGTATTTGTTTTTAGAGGCAAATGTATTAAGATGTTTGTCATCATTATTATCTTGAATTACCTTATCCATTCTATCCATGGTCTAGTCTCACTTTGGAGCATGTTTAACTCACATTTAGGCCTGATAAAGTCCAGGTTTAGATCTGAAGGCACCTGAAAAGCCAAACACAGCAATGTTTGAATCTTATTTTGAATCACCTTTTCTTCTTTAGGCTGTTTTCTCTCAATCTGAGGGATTGGAGGGTGATGGTGGTGCTGAGACACAATATACTTATTACCCAGCTACCATTGCAGATGCCACGACTGGAACCATGGTAACCACCGTACAAGCCCCTGACACTTTGTTAGGCCAGCCCACACCAACAGGTACGTTCTGTTCCTTCAAATGAACTGACCGGTTCTCCTTTTCAATTGAATTGAGACCTTTGAGTGAGAAGCGCAGTGTAAATGTTGGTGCAGCAAAACTTGAATTTCCATCAGGATCAATAAAGTATCTCTCTCTAATATGATCATAAAGATGTGACAGTCTCCAATTATCTCCAATTATTATAATATTATGAAAAAGTTAAATATTAGTTTTCACTCTTTTTAGAAAGTAAAGTATGTATATTATATAGATTTAGTGAAGCTTTCAAGCCTTCAGTTCTTGACATTTTGATTATTGTGGCTTACACATAATGAAAACACAAAATTCAGTGTCTCAGAAAATTTGAATATTGTGAAAAAGTTCAATATTGGAATGTCATGGTGTCAGTCAGCCAATTAATTCAAAACACCTGCAGTGGTTTCCTAAGGCTTTACGTGGTCTCTCAGTCTGGGTCACTGGGCTACACAATCATGGGGAAGGCTGCTGACTTGACCTATCCAGAAGACAGTCATTGACACCTTCCTCATGGAGAAATCCATAAAAGGTCATTGCTAAAAAAGCTGCTTGTTCACAAAGTGCTATATCCAAGCATCTTCATAGAAACTTGAGTGGAAGAAAAAAGTGCGACAGAAAAAGGTATACCAGCAAAAGGGATGGTCGCAGCCTTGAGAAGATTCTAAAGCAGAATCCACTCAAGTATTTGTGGTTGCTTCATAAGAAGTGGGCCAAGCCTGGGCTGTGGAGAAAAAGAACTGGACGATTGCTTAGTAGTCTAAAGTCTCTTCAGATCAGTCTTTTCAGATGAAAGTACATTTTGCATGTCATTTGGAAATCATGTTCCCAGAGTGTGGAAGAAGAGTTTAGAGGAACCCATTTTGCTTGATGCTCACTGTGAAGTTGCATTGGGAGTCACAATCAGTGATGATTTGAGCTGCTATGTAATCTGCTGGTGTTTGTCCACTGTGTTTTCTGAAGTCCACAGTTAGCACAGCCATCTACCAGGACATTTTAGGGCATTTCATGCTTCCTTCTGCTGACAGGCTTTATGGAGTTGCCGGTTTCATTTTCTAGTAGGACTTAGCACATGCCCACAAAGCCAAAGGTAACAAAAGATGGCTGACCGACCACAGTGTTACAGTGCTTGTTTGGCCTGCAAACTCGCCTGACCTGACTCCCATAGAGAATCTCTATGGGGTCTTTCAAAGCAACCTGGGCTTTCATTACACTTGAGCAGTGCCACAGGTCGATCGCCTCCATGGCACACTGCACTGATGCAGTAATTCTTGCCAAAGGAGGCCCAATTAAGTAGTAAGTGCATAGAAATGAACATACTTTTCAAAGCCTGGCATTTCTGTTTAAAATATCTTTTTTTAAATTTCTTCATAAATTTTCTGAGAATTTGGGGTTTTCATTATCTGTAAGCTAAAAGAAAAATGTCAAGAAATGGAGTGAAGCTTTCAAGCCTTTGTGTCATGAGTCCATACAATGAATGAATTTGTCTTTCTGAAATTAATAACAAAAAATATTGAACTTTTTCATGATATTCAAATTATTGAGATAAGTATATAGTCAATTTGTATGTTTAACAGGCCAACTTTATGTAATGATGTCACCACAGGAGGTTTTGACTGGAGCCAACCCCAGAACAATCGCACCTCGCACTCAACCGTACTTGGCGTAATTTACTATTTCATTAACAACGAAATGTATTATGGTTTACCCTGACTAATAACAAACTGTTCATTGTACTGTAGAAAGCAAGATGCTCCTCGGGGTTCCAGAGATGACAAGCGACGGGCTCAACACAACGAGGGTTAGTGTTCAAAAAAGACCTTTAGGCTACGTTCAGACTGCAGCCTGAAGTGACTCAAATCCGATTTTTTGGCCCCTATGTGACCTGTATCTGATCTTTTAATGACAGTCTGAACGACACAGATCCGATTTTTTTTCAAATGCGACCCAGGCCACTTGGATATGTGGTCTTAAAACCGATACATATCCAATCTTGTGACATACGACTTCAGTCTGAACGGCCAAAGAGCATCCATCCGACCTACACGTTATCAACAAGCGACAAACGTCACTATTCTGCGCTGAAGTAGGCGAAAATTGTTAATGAACTCCGTGTCACTGAAGCGAAGCACATCGCCACTCACCACTCTTGGCTACGTCTGTGCATCCACACGTTCCTTTCAACGGACGTTGCTGCCACTGCCCCACAAAACACCACGGCCAAAAACCTCGTCCTTCTCCTTCTCAGTCTCCTTAAAACAAGTAAGTTGTTCATGTTCTGGCTCCGGTACGAGAGGAACGTTAAAATCGCCAGGTGCTCAATGCTCGCGTCCATGTTTGGACAACTTCCGTAAACACAGAGCACGCTTGCTGCAGTTGACGTCATCGTGTCCTCCAGTGCGCACGCGGGACACTTTTGGGCCGTTTACTGTTCACACTGGAGTCACATACAAGTCGCATTTATTTGGAAATGTGAACGACCTTGCAAAGACATCGGATTTCACAACAAAAAAAACTGAATTGAGCATTAAGCCCTGCAGTCTGAACGTAGCCTTAGTATAGTGTAAATATCTAATACAGTGTTTAGTGTTATGTCATGTTTTATATCTCTTTCTTTTTTCTTTTTGGTCACAGTTGAGCGTCGGCGGAGAGACAAGATCAACAATTGGATTGTTCAGCTCTCTAAGACCATTCCGGACTGTAATGTGGACTACACCAAAACTGGACAAGTACATTTCTGATCATTTCCGGTCATATCTAAGTATAAAAGAGCATATTTTAACTACTTTCTTGTTTTTAGAGTAAAGGAGGCATCTTGTCAAAAGCCTGTGAATATATTAAAGAGCTAAGGCAAAGCAACCTAAAGCTCGGAGAAGACATAAGCACTCTAGATCGTCTACGGATTGACAATCAACTCCTAAGACAGGAGGTAGGACTTTGTCCCCTATGATTGTTTTACTGTGTTAATATTAAAATGACTACAAGTGGGACAAGAGAATTCAGTCACTCTGCCTCCCTAACTCTAGAACACAATGCTGTGTGACAGCTAGATTTTATTGTGCAAACCCCACATGCTTGACTATATGCCTTGCACGACTTCAACATGCATCTGCATCTGTATGTCTGTTACTCAGGTGGAAGACTGGAAGTCCAAGAATCAGATCCTGAGAAACCTCCTTCGACAGCATGGCATTGTGGGATCATCCAGCACAGAGCCCCAGTGAGAGGCTAGGCGCTGATGTGTATTATAGAAACAATGGGCCAAAAGAGTACTTGATACACTTATATAAACAGTACCTGTGTGCATGGAAAAAGATCAAACAATTCAGCATTCAATTTTAGCTTTGTTGTTATTAATACTTTTTTAAGCGTTGTAGGCATTCAAAATTCAGTCATCACATGTTGTAAAGAGATGTAGGCTTAAGGCCAGCTCATGCAGTTCCAGTAGAATCCATATTCAGCATAGACTGTGATATCCAGTCGTGTAAGCTCGCCACATAACACAACTTCTCTATGGTTATTGTTATAATGTCTATAAATGTTGCAATTTTGTATAACTTTTCATAACTGACATTTCTTTCATTATGACTTTGACAAGATCATATGACAATTTAAAAGTGTTTTATTTTTAATGTTCACAATGCCTTGATAGGGACAAAAATTACATTGCAACAATGTAACTGTTAAAATGAAGACAAATGGGTCATAACTGAGAATTACATCGTATGTATGTCTTTTATTAAATATCAAATGTCCAACTCAATTTCTCCTAATAAAAATGAAATAGTGAATAATGCACTGCTGTGGGGTTCATATTAGCTCAGTGCTAAAAAAAAACAACTTAGTTGTAATAGTTTGCTTATCTCAAATATGAATTTAATTACTGAATGAAATTTGTCTCTGATTTGAGAGGGGTTAAGAAAACACTGGACAGCGCCCGGGGTTCGATCCCGCGGAGGGACAGAAATTCATTGCAAGTAGAATATCGAAGTAACCACTGAGCTAAACCAGTGCGGAAATAACAAGTGGCTCAAAAGACTTTTAACTTAAACCAAGCAAGTGGTGTATGTGTTATTTTGTATACGACTTGCTTATCATGAAATAAGACTAATATATCTGGTCCATCAGTTAGGCAAAAAAGCAACTTTTTCATGCTTTACACAAGACTTTTAACTTCTTGAGTAAAAGCAGTAACAAACAGATCCATGTCTGCAATAGGTAAGGTAAACCATAGAAATCAAGTATGAGCGAGAGCGGAAGTAGGCTATAATTTAATCTAAAATACATGCAATTATACAAGTTCTCCACAAGTCAGTCCATGTCCATGTTTTATTGTTACCACGAAGGCCTATGCTGTATAAGTATGGTTATCTCTCTAAGTCCATACGCGTGTTGGGTATATGAATGAAAATGATCGACCCTTTTACTTTTGCATTTAATTTTGAAGGCTGAGACCGGAAGTATTTTATCAAGACATTGGTAGAAGACAACATTTTTAGCTTTTCCCGTTCTGCAAAAGCGAAATCGCGAAAACTACATAACCAATTTATTAATATATGTAAGTAACTTAGGTGTGCACCATGATCTGCATTCTGCTGGTAGCTGGTCACGGCACGGTTTTACAGACACAAATCAAGGTAAGTTGAAAAAGCTGCTAGTCTCATATGAGTGCAAAGTTCTGTAACGATGGAAACGATACTGCACACGTCTCACATATTTATTTGGTTAACTAATTAAAATGTAGTACCCTATTTGTCAGATGTAGCTATCACTTCTAGACAGACATACTCTTACTTGCAGACTCCACTGACTGTGCAACAGTGTCTTATACATATACTTATATTTAGCGAGATTTGTAACTTCAATCATGGAAAATCTAAGTTCAATGGTTTCAATTATTTGTTTTGTGATGGTTCTGGGGTTCATATGCGATATCATTATATAGGTTACAGACGGGGACAGCTAAAATATATTGTCAAAATGCAAAATTTTGTTTCAACTATGGAAATGATCAGGCTCAACATTTGTGAATTTACCTTGGATTTTTCTTGGATAACAATGTAATCAATGTGGAATAGGCTATTGGTTGTTTATAATATAATGTTGTTATAATAATCTAGTAATAATAATATATTAGTGCATTCAAATTATAGGATTAGTGTTTCCGTTCTATGTTTCTGTCCAACCACCACAAACTACTCATGCACACACCCCATTCAAAGTAGGCTAGCTTTAAAGTGTCTTGCCCAAGGACAGTGACAGGAACATTAATCAAATTTCGGCCCATGTGGCAGAGTAGTCATTTTAAGGTTGGGGGTTTGATCCCAGTTCCAACAAGTATACCTGCTGCCATTATGTCATTGAGCAAGTGGGATTCATCCACCTTGAATGTGTCCGTGGTTGATTGTATTCTGAGATTATTATCTTATTACATTATATGGCCATTATCGTGATTATTTAGGTCACAATATAATCTTAAAATATTTTTAAATATTTTAGAATTTAGAGCCATTTTATTAGCAAAATTAAGTTAGTCAGTTCAATCTCCACTCCAAAAACATAACCCTGAATGAAATTTGCTTTTTATGTATTTTTATATATCACTATAACTTTGCATTTGCATTAAGAAAGTTTGATTTTATAATGCTGGCCATATACTAGAGGAGTGATAATGCATTAGAATTAACAAAAAATTTGGATTTGACTTTTGTTGTTTGTTGTTATGTGTAAATAACTGAGAATATTCATTAAGTTGTGGTGTTTCTTCTCACAATAATCATAGCACTAAAGTTTGATATTGTGGTAATCCTAATGCTCACAAGGCATCTTATTATTTGACATGCAATGTAATGTATGTAGACTTGTCACTACAACAAATGTTGAACCATGATAAATTTCTACAGAGAACTACTTAATGCTACTGACACAATAAGAGTAATGCAAGATAATCAGAGTACCACTAAACTTATTTTTAAATAGACAGCACCATTAAATGGCAGAATAAAGAAATAAAAAATGCCAAAAATCTTGCAATTTTTGCAAAGATATTGTACACATAATAAATATTGAGCCTGAAAATATATTGTTCTACATTTCATATACCGTATTAAACGATGTATGTGAAATGTCTGTCTTTGTATTCTTCCCAGAACGATGACACTGGTTTGTACAGTCACCTGGCTGGAGTGCCCAAGGCCTTACTGCCAGGGATCGGTGGGAAAAAGATCCTTGACTTCTGGTGGGAAACTGTCAACATGTGGGTATCAGAAGCTGTGTTTAATCTACAAACATTTATTCAATATGTTGGTTGGCTGGTGGCTGATCTCCACCTTGGTCACTGGATAATCTTATATTCTTATTTTATCTTGTTTCTGGTTAATTATAGTGTTATAATATCTAAATATGTTGTAGACACTTTGCAAGTATTATACAGTAGCTTGTTTATTATTACATTTATTAATTTATTGTCATATTTTAGACAAGACATTTATAGACAGATCTGTTATTTTATTAACAAAATGGTCAGATAAATTATTCCTTTATTCTCTCCTTAGGCGCCAACTGTTTACCGAAGTCTATCTTGTTACAAATGCAGACAAGTAAGTACAAAAAACTATACTTTAACTATATAAACATATTATATAATTTTCCTCATATGTACACAATCTTGTGGCAATTTTGTTTCACGAAATCTTGTGGTACCAGATCTTGTCCCATTCCTAGTATTAAATATTATTGATCTATAGAATGCTGTGATGACATCTGGAACCCAAAATGCTCCAAAGAACATTTCCATATACTATCCATATACTATCTTCTGTATTTACTTTGTCTTTTTTAGATACAAGCATTATGAGCGCTGGGCCACAGCTAATGACTTTCCTGTAGAAAATGTTATAAATGATGGCAGTACAACTCTAGAGGACCGCCTTGGTGCAGTGGCTGATCTGGAGCTGGCCATACGCAGCCGAAAACTACAAGATGATATCATGGTGGTAAGGACAACCTGTCTGTATCCCAGGGTGTGGAAAATGTTGCAGCTCTTTTTGTACATGACTGGAACAAAAATGAGATTTAAAAATATTCTGATGATATAACATACTGACATCAATTCATACTTACAGCAAAGAAAATAGATGGCAGTAACATTCAAATTACAAACAATTTATTTTATATATATTCTATACAATATTCTAATTGCTTATTTTACCTACTGCCAGTTTGATTAAACTTAAAGGGCTCTTGACTTCTGTGGTGACATATGAAACCCAGTAGTAGGTTTTAATGTGGGCTAATACTGCCAACCATAGGTGTAAGCAGAGAATTGAGCTCATATTTATGTTGATTGTTGGTTATTGTTACAGATTGCAGGAGACATGCTTTGTGCAGATCAAAACTTTGACATTGCTCAAGTAATCCGATTCTTCAGGTCAAAGGTAACTGTGGTTTTCCATGGGTGGATGTCCTGATTCATCTTGATAGCGTTTCTGTCCTAGTTTAGTTGCATATGTTTTAGTCCTTAATTTTTTGTTACTGTTACTGTAATCTACAGTATATCAAAATGTTGTCCTTATTTATCATTGGTATGACTGGACATTTTGATTGGTATTGACAATGTAAATAGCTGGTTTTCATTTACAATAAACATCTCTGTCTCTTTACTGTAGCCTGGAGAACTGATGATTTACTATGAACTGGAGGAGGGTGAGAAAAGCAGCTCTAGAGGCATTGTGGAGGTCTGTCCTGACACCAATAAGTGAGTTTTACATTAGGTTTTAAGTTTGTTTGTTTAAATAATATAATGCATTCATTTATCACCATATTATTTTTGTGTAATTCAGAATAACACGTTTTTTGGAGAAGCCTGCAGAGGGATTAACCACATCCCGATTGGCCAGTGTGGTATTTTATTGTCTCCAAAAAGACACTCTCTCTTATCTGTCTGACTTCCTCTGTCTGCAGCCTCAAGCCACCGACAGAACCTTTGGACAGTTTTGGGTTTGTAGACTTTGACAATAAATATGTAGTTATGCTTTTTCTCATGAAAACCTGAATTGTTATTGAACAGGGGAGATCAAATTAACCCTTTTGATGTTATTCACTTATCAGTCCATATTTTGTGTGCTATTGTGTTTTGCAGGAGTGGCTTATAAATGAAAAGAAACAGGATGTATTTGGAATGAAGCTGCCCACAGGTTTTCAGCTAATTGGACAAGTGGTCAGTTATGTTGTTGTATGTTTGTAATGTTGTTACAAAAAGCAATGTTACAAAAACGTACCTGGAGTTGTAAATATCCATGGTTTGTATCTTACACATGTGTGAATGAAGCAAAACACAACTCTGGGTATGTTTTTGATGAGGAAACAACATTAAAACATAGATCAGAAAATAGTGTAAATATAGGCCCTTTAACTCAAAATCTAGTCTCAGTTACTTATTTTTGAAACCTCTAAGGGCAACATGACAGTATTATTGTGTGTATGTTTGATTTCCATTGGTTAAAGTGAAAGGCAACTTTATCTACATAGCACATTTACATGCTGTTTACATGCTTCAGCTGTTCAGTACTATATAGATGTACATTGGTTCTGGTGGAGGATCCGCTACCTACTTGTCTCCATGGAGATGTTATTGCCTTGCCTGGAATGTTCCATGGCAAGACTTTAAATATATACATCTAGCTTTTATTCATTATGTTGCTCAAAAATACAGTAATTCCTTCTGTAAATAGGGGCGACTCTCCACAGATCTATATTGTAATGTAGAAGAGTGCTGTAACCTGCTTTGTATAAATTATACTGTGGAATATTCTAGACAAAGCAGTTCAATTTCCATGGACACAAGCAGGTGGTGGACCCTCCATTAGAAATGTTATGCAGTACACCTTTAAATAAAGTCTTGCACATTTGTTTTTTCCTACTCAGGGATTGTCAGACTACACCAAATGGCTGACACACTACTCCACTAAGCAACAAGACAATCCTGCCAAGCCAATTACATGCAGGTCATATGCAAGGTTAGTTTCATGAATAATATTTGAATACTGGTGCAGCAACAGTCAAAATGGACAATATGCGTTTTAGGGTTGGATTAATGGGGAATCCTTCAGACGGCTTCAATGGGAAAACTATTGCAATGACCATTTCTAATTTCTGGGCGGAGGTTACATTGACAGAGAGCCAGAGTTTGGTAGGAAAAACTCACGTTATTGTCAAAATCTAAAAAAAAAATGCTTATTTTGTATCAACCTTATTCTTTATCAACCTAAATCCTTGTTCTATTCTAGGTCTTGGTTCCTCACCCACTCAATGACCCCACTGAGTTTGGCAGTTTGCAGGATCTCTTCTGCATCAGCAGGAAGGAAGGGCAAGTGACCCTCGACTTTATAACTATCATGTAAGAAATGGTAGTTAAATAGGCCTACTAAATGTGTTCTCAAAATATTTTGAACAGCTATCTAGGAGGTCTAAGGCTTTTACAGGCAACTTGTAAGAAGTTTTATCAGTTTTGCTCCAAACAGGGGTGAGCTAGTTTTCACAAGCTTTTGATTTTAATTTTGAAGTACATCTCAGTTATAATATGTGTAATTTCTACAGCATTGCTTTGACAAAACAGAACTTTACATTGAAATATGACACAAATATTCCTCGGCAAGTGGTGAGTGGTCAGTAGTCACAAGCAATAAATAAATAATCCTGATATAATACTGTCATTTATCTGTTTTTTAAGGGCCTTGCTGGAAGCAGGTATGTATCTTGTTATACACTATAATTGAGAAGTTAACTTATTTCGTGTTGACATATGTCTCTTTAACCAAATCAGTGCCATTGTATCGGCTACTCTCAAGTGCCTCATGAAATTTTACAACATTACAGACGATGTAAGTGTCCCTTGTACAACAGACAAATGATTAAATCTTGGATATTTTTTGTAATGCTTTGATAGACAAACCATATTGACAAATATCCTTTTAAACCTGATGTAACGCTATAGGACTTGCCAAAACCAATCAGAGCTAATTTCATCCTGAATGTGGAGACAGACGAGCTCTTCATCACAGCTGGTCTACAGGACAGAGTGGTACAGGTATTCTGTTTATACATGTTTAACACACACACACACACACACACACACACACACACATGCATTTTTACCTGCCAGCATCCTACACTCTGCAGTTATGCACTGGACTTTCTCAGGAATGTCTTGGGTATTGTCTGGTGCAGTAGATCTAAGCCTGTATTGTTTGCATGCTCAAGGCCTGCTCCTGTGCAGCCAGGATGAGTGCTTCTGTGCTGGTCTTCAGACCAGTCATTGGTAGAATTTCTTGGTATCAGCCACTTTAGTTATGTTTCTCTGGTACGCCCCATGTAGGGTCTTGTCCTGCTATGATGGTCCCTCCAGCACCTCTTCCTCTGAACCCCATTGTCTGAGACATTCTCTGAGCACGTCATCTGTCCGGGCCTTGTCATTGATGTACTTATGGACCTTAGATATTTCATCCTGGACAATGGTTTCCACACTCACTAGTCCTTGGTCTCCTTCCTTCCTGCTCACATACAGTCTCAGGCTGCTGGATTTGGGATGGAACCCTCCATGCATGGTCAGGAGTTTTCATGTCCTAACATTTGTGGTCTGTATCTCCTCCTTTGCCCAGCGTATGATTCCTACTGATTCTGATCACTGGCAGTGCGTAGCTGTTTATTGCTTGGGCCTCGTTCTTGCCATTGAGTTGGCTTCTTAGAACTTGCCTCACTCGTTGCAGGTATTTGGCCATTGCCTCTTTCCTTGTTGCCTCTTCAAGGTGGCCATTTGCTTGTGGTACTTACTTGTAGCTGTTCTCAGTGTCTGCTATTGTTTCCTCTGGGAGTGAGACGCCTTCTTTGTGGACTACCTTCCTTCTGTCACCATCCAACTATATTTTTGAAGCCCAAATGACATTCCAATGTCTGTGCTGTAGATCAGAATAGCAGTGGGGACAGTGCGTCTTCTTGGTATGTGTCACATTTGATGGACACTTGTGCAGGGCCCTTAGAGTCCTGTTGATACTCTACAGCTCCAAGCACTCAGTGATCCATGTGTGTGGCACTTAGTCATAGGCTTTCTTGTAATCAATCCAGGTTGCACAGGGTGGTCTCACGGGTTCTGCAGTCACAGGTGACTAGGAGTTTGTGTTTGGCTGCCCTGGTGTTTTTGCCAATGCCCTTCTGTGCTGTGCTCATGTATTGGCTCATGTATTGTATCAGGGCGATAGTTGTACCCTTTGAGGGATTCTTCAGGGTCATACCTCCCTGGGTTAGCCATTCAGGGTAGCCATCCCTTAGCAGGTGGTTAATTTGTGCTGCCAGGCGCTCGTGGAGTGCACTGAGTGGCTTCAGGCACTATGCATGGAACATGTCAGGGCCTGGTGCTATCCAATTCATGCCTGAGACTCTTTTCTGAATGTCTGCCACTGACTGGACTCTGGGAGGCTGCTGTGGTCTTTTCTCAGAGCCACCATCCACTGTGCATCAATGTTATGTGATGCCTCCCTCTCCCATACTTTTCAGTCTCCAGCCTTGGTGGATTTGCTCTGGTGTACCTCTTTAGGTGGCTGGCCAAGGCTTGGAGCCTTTGATTGGCAGTTTGGAGTGCTTCAGGCATGGGTGTCGGGCTGTACCTCTTGGGTGCTTTTTCTTTTTTTTTTTTCAAATTTACTTTTTTATTGAAAAAGCAGATTACATTTTGCAATGTGTAAAATTAAATCACATGTTCCTGCTCTTACAATTTTTTTGAAAACATATACAAACTCAGAACAGGTTTGGGAGCCAGGGAACCTCTTTCACAATTTAACAGAATATTGCAACTATGAGGTAGTTTTATATGAAGTCTGATCTCACTGGCTTTACATATTCTGTCCACTTAGTCCACATCTTGTAAAATAAGTCCAGCTGCACTTCAGTAAAAATGAAACCTTTTCCATCATGTAGATCCCTTGCACAATGTCAATCCAGTTCTCAATTGTTGGGTGCTCAGGTTTAAGCCATTTCCTTATTATTGCCTTTTTATTTGCTGCCAATAGAATATAGAGTAATCTCTTATTTGTGTTGCTAAAGCTGTCTAACACTAAGTTACCAAGGTACAAAGTTTCAAATGACAGGGGGAAAACTAATGAAAAAACACCTTGCAGATGTTGATGAATCTCTGACCAGTATTCTTGGATGACCCCACATTCCCAAAAAATATGGAAGTGATTAGCCCCATCATTCCCACATCTCCAGCAGACATCACCTATTCCTTGGTATCTCTTTTGTACTGGTGTAATGAAAAATCTCATTAGGTTTTTCCAACAAAATTCATGCCATGTATTTGACCCTGTTGAGATCCACTGGATTTGACATATGTGCTCCCAATCATCTTCTGTCATTGTAAACTTTCCCTCTCTTTCCCACTTTTCTTTGACATAATATGTGCTCCCCTCCTTACCCAACAGGATGCCATTATACAATTTCAAAACAATTTTTGTGGGAGATGATGATTTTATTAGTGACATAAATATTTGTAAGAAACCCTGGTCAGCTGAGGGAATTGTAATTTTCTGAGTGAAATAGTGCCTTATTTGCAGGTACCTGAAGAAATCCTCAGAGCGCAGTCCATGCTTTTGTCTTGGGTGCTTTTTCATTGCACCTTTCTGGACCTCTGACAGTTGGCTCACTTTTCTCTGTGCTTTCCTGATTTTAGCCTCTAACCATCATTTCCATGCTGAGTATTGTTTTTTATGGCTCCCATATTTGCTCTTATATCCCAGAACCTCTAGGATCACCGCTGCTGAAGTGTAGATCAGTTTGGTTTCAGTGATTGTTGTGGTAGGGATCGCTCTCAGTGCTGCATTCACTTCTTCTAGGAGACTTTCAGATGGTACTTCACTTAGCCTCTGTAAATGGCATCGGGGATGCCTTGTGTTCATTATACTTTCTCATGGTAAATCAAAGTGCACTGTGTAACATTTCTAGTAATGCTTCCAATGAAATGTTATTGCCCTGTGTAGAACGTTCCAAAGTATAGATTAAACCTATGTATCAAGAGGGAGACAAGCAGATTACAGCACTATGTTACAATTCAGATCTGTGGAGAGCCACTCCTATTCACAGAGGGAATTATTGTATTTTCGAGCAATAGATAACAATAAAACAACCACAATGAATTAATGCTAGATGGACATGTTTAATGTCATACTATGGAACATTCTAGGCAAAGCAATAACATCTCCATGGAGACAAACAGGTAGCAGACCCTCCACCAGAAAAGTTGCACAGTGCACCTTGTTATTACTACATCTCTTTTATATCTTTTCTACCTTGTTATTACTATTTTAAAATGTCTGCACTTTATCAGTCCAACATTTCCCCATCTAAACCTTTAAGTTATTTTGTGCTTTACTGAACTTGTCTTGTTATTGTTTTGGCAGGTTTATGAAGGTTTGGTTTACATGGATTTCAGCAAAAAGCTCATGGATGAACAGGGCTATGGTATTAATGCTACTATACTATATAATCTAAAATTTTAATGGTCCTATATTACACAAAATTGATTTTTGTGAGATTAAAGCCATGATAGAATGCCGTTACCGCAAAAACATCCCTAGAGTTATGTTTTATTTCATTCACACATGCTTGAGTAATTTTGCATTATTAATCTGTTTACATCTCTAAAGCTCAAAACATTATAATATAGATCAGAAAATAGCACAATATGGGCCCTTTAATGTAAACAGTTCCTTTTCCCTTTTTTATTTTGGTTCCCATTCATATTTTGTTGTTTTTAGGTAACTATATTTGTATGGACATGAAGGACCTGCCCCCATTCTGGTTGGCTTATCTCAGTGACCCCAGTGACTCTGGGAGGATCCACAGTAATATCAGGCAACGCTGGCTCGGTGGTATGAAACATTGTATACCTAGAACAGTAGATATAGAATAGATTATTAGATTATATTCAATTTATAAAAGGCATGGTGTGGGTTACTGTGAACTAGAAATAAAATAAAAGAAGATACTTGAAATTAATGTTTTTTGGTAGTAAAAGTTATTGGGTAAATGTCAGATAAAAGGAATTATTGTAGGGATGACAGTAGCTCAGTTTGTGCTCTACAAACTGAGCTACTGTCATCCCTACAATAATTTCACTGATCTGAAGTTTGGTGATTTGAATCCTGCTCTCTTCTGAATACTGTCATTGTGTCCTTGGGCAAGACACTTAACCCACCTTACTCCTAGTGTGTGTGTGTGTGTGTGTGTGTGTGTGTGTGTGTGAATGGATGAGTGGTTCCTTCATGTAAAGCGTTTTGAGTGCCTTGAAGGTGGAAAAGAGCTATTTAAAAATGTGACCATTTACCATTTAAATAAACCATTAATAAGATCAAATTTTTTTGTCTTATTAAGGAGAGCCTCTGGTGGTTGAGGCAATGAAAACTTTTGCTGATTTGACAGATCAAGCAAGGTTGGTCAAAGCAGCAATATCAGAACAAAACCTACGCTAAAATTATACTGACATTTATTTATTATGTGCTTCAGGACTGCTCTAGAAACAAAAGACTGGAGTCGCATGGCTCAATTAATGGATCAAAACTTTGAACTAAGAAGGTAATTAGACTTATTCTTTATTCAAGCATTTAGTTATATCAACTAAATAAATGCTTATACCCAATAGGACTGTCTACACTGATGGCTGTCTGGGTCCTGGAAATCTCAAAATGGTGGAATTAGCGCGGCAGGTAGATTTAATTTTATTCTGTCACAAAACTGCCCTGAAAGAGAAAATGCTTGTTTTTTCTCTCATTATTTGTTTTGTTTGTTTTTATCATTGTCTTTTATGCTCTAAGTCTTGAGTTGACTTGAAAAGCCTTATATGAAATCAATGTATTATTATTAAGCCTTTATCCATGTGTTTGCTTGGGTCAAAAGCATTTGACATTTGTGGATGTTTTGCAGTTTGGCTCTGCTGTGAAGTTACCGGGCAGCGGAGGAGCCGTAGTTGGGTTGTGTTTGGACCAAACAAAACAGGTAAAGATTTATAGATCAAATAATATGATACTCCTGATTTTTAACTTTTTTAATATATCTATTTTGTTAAGAGGAGTGTGTTTCTATTTGTGCGCTCCACTTGCATCTAAATGCATTTCCTTTATTTGCCACTAGATGGAGATGAGACAAGCTTTTCAGGAGGCTGGCTGTGTCTTCTGTGTCATTGCTCCGTACAACCCCTCTGTGTGCATGAGCCCACTTTAAACATTCACTCAACAGCTTCATAGGGTCCAGAGATAGAACATTTCATTGAGATTATCATGACAGTAAGAACAAGGTGGTAAATATATTTTAAAACTTTTTTTTTTTAACCGTAGTTTATGTGAATGGAAAATCCTGAAAATTATTTGAAATAATATTAACAATGGTTCATAAATTTCAGTTATCAGAGGCAGAGAAAAAAATATGTTGAAGTTATATTTCTGTAAACATATATATTTTTTAAATTTATGAAAAATAGTATACAACTGTAATAAGACCAAAATAATGCATTATCGTGCTCTAACACTAAATGTCAATATATATAATATATAAGATTATGTAATTGTAAATTTTTATCATTGTAATGAAGAATATTTTGTAAAGCCTTACATAGCCTAATGTTGCGACCATCTGAAAGAGTCTTGGGTGCCAGTGTAGAAAACAGAAGAAACCTGTTAAATTAAACACAATAGACTTAGACCAAATTTTTGCTAAATTCAGTAAAATTTGCTGTAGTATAATCACCAAATTCTATAGTATAGAATAGCCTACTATTCTGTCTAGGATGACCACCTTTAAATTGCTGAAAAGGTTGGACAAATTGTTTAATGGTGAGATGGACTCAGGAAATTTAAGTGCATAGATAATAACTGCAGTTTTTCAGTTTTTATCACTTGTGAGATAGTTAGGCATTGTAAAAGGTGCACAATAAGTATTGATTTCTTTGTGAGGAAGTAAAAATATATTATGATATTTTCTATGCAAATTTTCTCTTTTATATCAGTTGTTGCAATGATGTGTGGCACATTCTCTAAATGAAATAAATGGCTGTGTGCAGGACACCCAAAAGTGGTGCAAGTAGTGGTGACCTTAGCCCTGCCTCCCTCCTGAAGAAAAATCTACCTACATTATGCTAAATTGTACTCTTGTGAGATTTAAGCCATATTAGAATGTTGGTACTGGCGCTTGGCCTGGGCCTGCCTCCTCAAAAACATGCCCAGAGTAATGTTTTGTTTCATTCACACATGTTTGAGTAATCCTTTATTATTAGTCTCTAAAGGTCAAAATGCTCTGTTCCACCTAGTGAATATTTTCAAGTTAACAAAATAGATTTTAACTTTTGTTTAGCAGAGACTGTAAATTCCAGAGTTTGAACTAATGAAAATTATGATTTTAGTGAAGGTGTATGGAGTTTAAAAACACAGTTCCTGTATTACCACATGACATCACAAGAAGTGTTTTCTGTTTGAGAGAAGAACTCAGCCTAAATATGCAGGGTTTCTGTGAAACTTCTGAGACTTAGACAAACTTTATTGATCCACAAGGGAAACTGTGTAAATGCGTGACTGAAACAAAGCACAACTCCAGGTATGTTTTTGATAAGGAAACAACATTATAACATAGACACAGAAAATAGCGTAATATGGGTCCTTTAAACCCGTGTAAGTAGAGTAAAGCCCCCCTATTTTATAAATCTGAGCCTTGTGTGAGCTTGTTACGCCCCTGTCTCACTGTCAACATCCAGGGCATCTGTAATTGGCTGCCTGCTCCAGAGGCGGGGCGGCGGGGTGGAGTGGCTCTGCGCGGCCGTGCACCGCTGCTCTCCCCTCGGCTCCACTCAGTCGAGGATACCGCTACTTCTCCCTCCCTCTCTATCCCACTCATGCGTGCACAGAGGACACCCATGGACTAACCAGAGAGAGTGGACAGCGTAGTGGACTTTTGGGGGGACAATGGCGGCTAAAGAGGACATTTACAGCAAAATCCTCCCTCGCAGGCTCCGTCAAAATCGTCTTGGTTCAGTGAAATGTGGCTCCAACCTGGACGTGCTGCTGTCCATGGGCTTCCCCAGACCAAGGGCGTGAGTACCGGGTTGTGGTATGGGAAGGACGGGGGTTGTTGTGGATGTCAGAGGTCGTCCCGAGGGAGACCTACGGGGGCATGTAACTGGTCTATGGAGGGGGTATAACGGGATTTACTCTCAGCATCCCTCGCTCACCGCTGCTGGATCTAGTGCGCGTACAATTTTTACCGCTGGTCGCAACTCATTGGCCATAAATGACAGGCAAGTTAGCCTATAAATCAGAGAAGAAATGGACGAGTACTAGACTACAACAGTACAGAATATATTAACCCATGACTAATGATCTTAAAACTTATAATAATACAATTCGTTTTGGTTTTGAGGCTTATCTAATCTTTTTCGGATTGTTTACCAAAGTGCTTTCCATAGCCTAACTCAACTGTAGCCTACATCAGCCTACCAGTCTATTACATAAGGTAGACTTTATAGCACAGGCTTCATAGATCTAGCCTCCTAGTTGCCTATAGATAGTCTAGTGTAGGACAAATGTCTATTTTTGAAATTTAGCTGTACTTTATTTCTTTGCAATCCTACCAGTTGTTACACTATTTGGGCTGGTGTTTCCTTATCATTTTGTAGCACCCAGGTCTATTCAGCTCCTAATTACAAAAATAAGAAAGGCATTTGATAGTACAGAGCTCAAACTTTAGGCTATATTTTCTTTCCTCGCATAAACCACAGCTTCCCATTATCCATGCCACAAGCAGCTTTTCAATCTTGTTAGTGCTTATTTTGACTTGATTAGTCATCACTCTGCAGTCTCATTGTCCTACATTTGAAGGCAGGTTTTCATAATTATTATTATTATTATTATTTTTGTATTTAACCAAATTCAGGGGACCTGTTGGGTTTATTTAAGGTACCAGGGGAAGCTGGAGCACCTGGAGGAAACCTTTTCTAAGCATTGTAGACACAGGGAGAACATGCAACTTCCACAGAATTGTGGATCCCTATCCGGAAAAGTCTTTTTGTTAGGCAGGTGGGCTAAACTCTATACCACAATTCTACCCATGTTAGCAACTGTAAATTGTATTTAACAACAATCACATCTAAGTCATCTTTCTTTCTAGCTCTTTCGAGATCTATTTATCTTTGTAAGTTAGACTTAGGACAGCAAAATTTTGGTCCACTTGTAGTATCATTTTAAAGGAGTTTTATTATCCCTGTTTTTACAGTCCATTGCTTAATTTTGTTGCAAATCTTCATTTGAGTAATATTACTTACAGTAAGTGATGAAATCACTACTTACAGTTACTTACAGTAGTGATTTTGATTGCAGATGCATTCACTGTCTATAATATTGGATTACAGTAGGTTCATTGGCTTATTATTATACCGAGTGTCCTCACAGAGATCTACAGACAGCCTTGTGTATGGGGCTTGTGGCATTTGTGAATGGAGGGACTGTGTGTGATTTGGACTGAGGTTTGGGTCCACATCTGTGAGGCCGGCCACAGCCCCTTACAGTAAACACAACATCGCTGCTGTGTTTGTCAGAGAAGCAGGTTATACACAGAGGTAAACATGCTCAAACTGACTTCCTGGCATTTCAGAAAGACTTTTGATCCTACATGAGATTTTCCACTGCACACTTGTAAACATATCTGATCAATTGTTAAGAATTGGCTACTAAAACTGAACTGGAGTTACATAATAATAAGGTAATACATTAAACACATCTAATGGATTATTGAGAGAATTGTTAATTGATTTAGTAATCGAATAATCACCTAATCTGGACTGTATATGCATGTGCTGAGAGAAGAGGGCAGGAAATGTTTATGTCTAAAATGTATGTTGTCATCTAATCTTATCTTAATTAATTGAGGTCTAAATGAGTAAAACCAAAATGGACGAAATTTAGTAAAAAAAATAAATAAAATCTCATATTCACAGACCTTTTGCTATCTACATAACTAATCAGTTAATCAAAGAACATAATCACCAAATTAGTTAAATAATTGCCGGTTGCAGCCATACTAAAATATCTACTGATAAAATATGATAAATAAATAAATGTAAAGTAATAAACTCAGCAAAAATAAAATAAGGGTTAAAATAAATTAATATGACTTCATGAAAATTCACACATCATTTTCATAGCTTTAAAGTAATGCTTTTTTTAATAATTTTTTCTTCTGCTTAGTTATACAAAGCTACTGATTTGTCAGATTTAAGTCACTCATTAAATTGACTATGGTGTCAAAGCTGTGCAGTGCGGGCAGATCCGATTAAAATATAACAGTAATAGTTTCCAGAGTAGTTAATTAGCCACTCATTATTATTGCTTCATGACAGGAGCGGGAGGGAAAAAGCCTTCTCTTACTCTTTCCTTTCAGCTTGTCAGTTTTGGTGGCCACTGCAGTGAATCATTTCTTCTTTAAAAGTGGCACACTAGTTTTACCCAGGCTGTGGACTGGTCAAAACTATACATTGACTGGCACGTATGACTGGACTGACTCAGCACAAAGCTTGAAAATATTTTAAAATGTGTTTTGATCCCCTTTCCGGGCTGCACCGATTCATCTTTTTTTGTTCTTGAACCGATATCAGCCGATTTCCCTTCAGCATATATGTGAACTGATATCTTGGAACCCACAGCCGATCACCAAAATGTTAAATATCGGTGCAGATAATAATTGATCGCATAGAATAATTGAGATGCTAGAAATGTGTTAAGAAATTGAAGATTAATTTAGAACTGCAAACAGTTTAAAATCAACTAATTCTGTTTTTCTGAGTAAAAATCAGGTACTGTGCCTTTAATGGCTGTAATACTCTTGATTATAATGTTGTATTTTATTTGAATTATGTAAATTTGACCATTTAATATTCTCATGCATGTTAATTTATCCTATCTACCCAAATCATCTCTTTTTGTTGCCATACTGTGCGATACTGTTCACATTTGTCACGCATCATACCTATATCTTATTTTGAATTTATTTTTCGCATGTTCATTTCCTGTTTGTGTTTTATCAGACCAGCTGCGGTGACCTCAGATGGCATCATGGAGACAGTCTTTGTTATTTTAAGATATTTTTGACACAATTAGAATCTTATCAGTAAAGTGAAAGTAGCTCAGCCTATTTTTTGCCCTGCTTATGGTATTTATAGACCAGGGGAAATCTCATGCGCTTTTTCCCCACAGACAGCTGTTGACCACGAGGGTAGTGTTGGAGGAACCCCCTGTTTATGAATACACTATCCCAAACAGACCTGTCACGATAACACAGTTTGAAATGCAATAAATTCTTGAAGAAAATGTAGATAATGATGAATGATGCTACTGAAACAAATTTATTCCACTGACACAACTCTAAAGCAGGATTCTTCTTCTTTTGTTTTTTTTCGTATGTACAGCGTGCATCCTTACTCTGAGCAGGCTTGCATCTCCATGAACCCGAACTTTTATTTGGCATGGAATGGAGGCTTTTTGCTCTGGGAATGTTATTCCTTTGGCTATAATTTTCCACAGTTTTGCACTTTTCTATATCTATGGAGAATATTCCACATTATGCTTTTAACTTTCTGTTTCCATGGAATCATGCAGGTGACATGTCACCTCCAGTTACATACTGTACCTTTAAAAGTATGAGCTGTAATAAATAAAAATGTAGATTTAACAGCTTAGTAGTTAGTATAATGAGTCATAGAAGTTATTTATTCAACCTTCTTCAGCTCAAATCTTACTACACAACAGAAAAATAACAAAAACTTCCCTTCTCGTAAAAGTACACATGATAATTTTGAATAGCAAAAAACTTCCACCTATTATTTAATGAACGACAAGTTGATATAGTAATTATCGTAACAGGCCCCGTCCCAAAAGGAGTAGGCCACTCAGTCCCCCAGGGCAGAGACGTCTCCTTCAGTTCACCATAACAGCTTTAGCTCTTTTATGTCAGTTATTTCCTCTAAAGGGCTGACCCACTAAAGTCCCCGTCCCACTGCTGCAGGATTACATGTGTACTGAGCATGGGACCATGTTGGAATTTTGTGTCACAATTCAGTGGTGGATGAAGTACTCAATTTTGTACATTTATTGAAAGTACAGATACTGGAGCAAAAAATACTCAAGTAAAAGTAAATCTACATAAGTAACAGTATTAAACTACCTGTTTGAAATTTATTTAAGGAGTATTGTATTGTACGTTGTCATACACATGTGCAATTTATTACTGAAGTATATATAGACAATAAATGAAAAGACTGAAACTAATGTATCCTACTGAACAATAACCCAAGAGCAGATTTAAACCACAAAAACTTCTAAATCAACAGTATTGTTTTAAAAAAAAGAGCGGCAATAAATAAATAAATAGCAGAATGAAACACTTTGTACTAGTTTGCATCTGTAATGAGTCATAGAAGTTATTAATTCAACCTTCTACAGATCAAAAAAATTACCAGTAGTGCAAAGAAAATGTACACGATAAATATTGACCCCAAAAATGTACTGTTGAGGTTGAGAATACACTACTGCAGGTTATTACTTTGCCTATGTAAGGGTTGCCAGGAATGTCTCACAGTATGGCATTATCAAATATGTATTCAATTACATGTGTTTTTTATTGCTCAAAATATATTAAAAAACATACATTCTTACTTGAGGTTGGATTGCCTCTCCGCAGATCTGATCCATGACTTGGCCTGGTAGCATTGCCTGCTTGTCTCCATGAAGATAGAAAAGTTGAATGCCAGACTGTGGAACACTCACGCAAACCAATGACAAGCAGGTGGCACAATGAAGTGGCCATTATCTTACAATTTTGCCTATTGTCAGATTACATTTATTAGAAGCATGAGTTGGATTGGAGAGGTTTGCAGCAGCATTGATTTAAATTGAGTAAGATAATGCTGTGGATGATGTATTGACATGTTCGTGTCAGAGCTCTTATGTTCAATCAATGAGCCCCATAATATAATATTGAACTGTGAGAGATCTTATGCAACATGCCAATAATCCTGCATTGTTAGTCTGTCTACATATCCAA